AGAACCATGTGGAACAAAATCAAAGAAGCCATTTGAATTTTTTTTTTTTTTGGTACCGGGGATTGAACTCGGGTCCTTGCGCTTGCGCAGCAGGCGGCAAAACCACTGAGCTAAATCCCTGGCCCTTGAAGCCATTTGAATTTAATTATTCTTTCAACATTCTGCAGACCAAAAGAAAGAATGATAAAGGAAACTTAGCCTCTCCCATTTTGTCCCTACCCATTTGCCCCATTTACGTTCTAACACCTTAATACACTCAACTACTACTTTACAGTCATGTGCATAGGGTACCATGTGTTTTATAAAAAGCAACAACTTGATTTTTTTAGGATCATGTTCAGAGACCCAGGCCTTGCTTAGAAGTTGAGGATTCAGAATGAAGCAAGATTGAAACAAGCCTCACTCACATTAGTTTTGATTCTATATCTCAAAATCCTTAAACCCATATGATGAAAAACAGACTCCCTCTGCACATTTAGCAGGTTTATCATCTGCTTTTTCCCTCTGTATGATTACTTCAATCAGGCTGTGAATGACATATGCGGGTTTTAATCACTGCGTGTTGTGACACCCGCCTTACACCACAGCAATTTCCTGTAATCAGCATTGCTTAAAAGGGTAATCAGGAGGCAGAGGAATAGTCAGAAAAACCTGACATTTTTGCAGCTTGCACAGCAAAATAAGATTAGAAACCAAACTCATAATGCTAGAAACATTTAGGAGAGGGGCAAGAGGGAAGAAGAGTATACTAAGTAATGGTCTAAGTTCATTTGTGTGTCACCTTTGGGGAAAATTCCTTCCTTCCTCTCTAAATACAATGACTGGGTCTGTTCAGGAACAGAGCTCCTTTCCCAGACCAAGTTCATCAGGGACATTTTTAATCTTGCATTCTTTATATTTAACTATTCAGGTTATACAAAACTAATGGATGGTTTTATTTGCAAAGCAGAAAGAAACATCTTCCTGGATTTTAATTAATATTTAACAAGAAATTTCCAAAATGAATCCTGTAAGATCCAGCTTCCTGAGAGATAAGCTTCACATAATCTTCTCTGAACCAGCATTCTTAAGAGAATTCTGGAAATCTTAACCTGTAAAAAAGAGACCACGGGTGACTAGAGAAACAAGAGGTGTATTACAGATGCTAAGGATCAACAAAAATAAAAAATAAATAAATAAAAGCTTCCTGTCTCTTTTGATATTTGCAAAAACAGATGGTTTTTATTTCTTTTTAGCTCTTAATTTCTAACACATATATGTCTCTATCACAACTTAACAAACCTCCTGTCTCAGTTATCTTTTTACCTAGATATTCTATGTTCTGAAATGCAGAATCAAAAGTATTAAGTTGGGGGCCAGGGATTTAGCTCAGTGGTTCCACTGCCTGCCTTGCAAGTGCAAGGTCCAGAGTTCAATCCCTGGCACCAAAAAAAAAAAAAGTATTAAGTTGGTAAACTCAATTATCTATGTGTTAGGAGTTCTTAAATTATTGTCTCAACTAGGCTGTGAATATTTCATAATACATTGTTATTTCCCCGAAGGAAACTGGGGGATAAGCCAAGAGTGAAGAAAGTTTGAGTGACAACATTCTTAAAAACAAGGACAAAAAAGAATGAATTCTGTTAGCTAGTGTACTCCTCTATTTGATGAGACATCTACCTTATGAAAGAAAAGGGTATATACTTTTACCTTTCTAGGGAGTTACTCAATGCTGATGCTCAGAAAGCATCAAAGCTGAACAATGCAAAAGAATCACTTCAGAATGACAAGCTGAGCACTGAATTGGTGTAAGATGTCAGGTGAAAGTAAGCTGGCAGCAGGGTCTCTGCAGGGAGCAACTCACCAATCTCCTTCTTTATGAAAAGTGCCTCAATCCCTTTCATTCAAATGAGCTAAAGGGAGCTTTGAAAGAGGCTAAAAGAAGAAAAAATAATGTTTACTGTTCCATAGATTGAATGAAGGGGAACCTTTTTACAAGCCTGTAATTTTATAAAACTGTAGGAACTAAATTATAAGTTAAGTCATCCTTGTAAATGTCAAATTTGTACCACCAAGAGGGAAAAGCCAACAACATCCCACAGAAATGATTAACAAAAGAGTGAAGGCTCTAGAATAGTTCCGGCTTGCAGTCAACTCTAAGCAGGGCTCCTAAGACTCCAATAGGGCTTTACCCTCTACTGCTCCAAGAATGGAAACCCACAGGCTTTCTAACAAAAGGTATTCACTTTTACCTTCCCATCCAGTGACCTGACAGATGTTGAAAAAACACACAGACTATGAAAGCCTGTCCTAAGCTGCAAAATGGCATACTTTAGTAGAACCACTGTTCATTTTGAAGGAAAAGTGTTCCTTTTCTTTTCTTTACACCTGCTCTACCACTGAGCTACATCCCCAGCTCTTTTTATTTTTACTTTGAGACAGTGTTGCTAAATTACTAAATTGCCCAAGCTGGTCTCAAACTTTGGATCCTCCTGCATTAGCTTACTAGAGAGCTGGAGTTATAGGTGTGTGCCACTGCACTGAGCTGAATGTTTCCTTTAACTGCCCCTCTAACCTTCTCCAGGTTCATGTACTCCTGAACAGAGAATACTACTATTCACTCACAGATAAAAGTACCTGTCAACATCAACATCTGAGAACTCGTGTGTGCATTGGTGGTATAGTGGTCAGCATAGCTGCCTTCCAACATCTGAGAACTTGAAATGTTATCAAGACCAATCACTTTCTTTTCTGTGATGTTAAATTTCACCTGTTGGTGAAATTTTTGACTCCACGAAGATGTTTTGCCTATGACATTGCACTTATTCTAACTATTCTAAATGCCAAGTATTCTTTACTTCGTCCACTCTTTCTTTCTTCAACAAGGGTCACGGGCAATGCTGAACAGCCTACCTTTGTGCATGTTTCTCTGCCATCCAAGCCTTCCTGATCACCCTTCAAGCCAAAATGCACAGACCTTTAAAGGTACAACCTCCCACTCCTTGGGTTGGATCTTACCTGGTATTATTCTCAAACTCATGCTACTTGCTTTTGCAAGCTTATTCTCCTGAGTCTCAACAACCAAATCACAGGATTTTGCTAAGGGTTTTCATTGGAAAGAACACAGGCTTGGGGATCAGAAAACCCTGGACTTTTATCCCATTCCTGACATTTATTTAACTAGGTGTCAATTTTTTTCCCATATCAACCTCAGTTTACTTGCCTGGGAATAAGGATAAATAATGTCTATCTCACAGAATTTTTATGGAAAGAAGACAGTATGCATAAAATTGCTGGTATATAACAGGCATTCAATAAATAGAAGATACAACAATATCTGTGAAGTACTCTTTTTCTTTCCCTTGGCTTCAAAAGAAAGGAGTCAGCCCAGGCCTAGAATGTGTCATTAGTATATGCTATATACCCAAGAAAGTACAGAACAGTCCCTCTGAAAACCAGAACAGCCAGTCATAGTGGTTGCATGCCTATAAACCCAGCACTGGGGGAAGCTGAGGCAGGAGGATTACCATGAGTTCCAAGCCAGCCTGGACTACATAGTGAGTTCAAGGCCAGCCTGAACTACACAGAAAACCTTATCTCAAAAAACAAAACACAGGGCTGGGGATTTAGCTCAGTGGTTCTGCTGCCTGCCTCGCAAGTGCAAGGTCCCAAGTTCGATCCCCAGTACCAAAAAAAAACCTATCAGCACAATGAATTTTTAATTTTCAGATAAACTATGTCTACCATAGTTAAAGAAGTTTGTGACAAGAGGAAACTCTTTTAAAACAGTTGAAATAATGCAAAATAGTGTCAAACATGTAAGTAATATTAAAAGCTGGAGTTTTCAGGACAAAAGACATGCTTGTTTGACAATCTTACAGCATTAAAGCATCTATAAAAGATCGATCTTTGATATTTACTGAATGGACTGACAATCATAAAGTACTTCTTTAAAAAAGTATGTTACCAATCCCCAGTACCAAAAAAAAAAAGTATGTTACATCTATTATTCTCACTTGGTATCAAGAAAACTCCAAGCCAGCATCAGAACAGATCTAACCAAAGTAGTTATAAAATAGAATAGTAATCAATATACTAAGATAACCTGATGAATACTCCAGAATTCATTCATTTATTTTTTTTTTTTTTGGTACAGGGGATCGAACTCAGGTCCTTGTGCTTGCGAGGCAAGCGGTGGAACCACTGAGCTAAATCCCCGGCCCTATTCATTCATTCTTGACAAATATTTATGGTAAACCTAAAATATACAAGACATTCTTTCTCCCAAGATAGAAGAAATATTCCCTCTACAAGCCTGCTAAAGCATAAAGGAATTAATACTCTTTAACAGAAAGGAACTCATTCTTTAACAGAATGGAACTCACCCAACTAGAAACATAAACTTAAACTTCAATTACTTTCTTCTTTACTTTGTCTACCAGCCTGAGTATTTCTAGCTTTATAAGCCTCATAAATCTAGAAAGCTACAAAAAATTGTTACTTTCACATATTCTCACAAAAGGTTTTATAAATATGTAGTCAGAATATCAATATATAATAACCTATTTATGAAAATGAAGAAGTCAATTTTTCAAAATTAACATAAGTTACCTCCATTTATTCATCTATGCAGAATGGGTATGGTTCCAATAGGGCACATGTAAATCAATTTTTTACTGTGTAATCTGGGTCTAAAGTCTTTTTTATTTCCCGGTACTAGTAATTGAATCCAGGGATTTGGCACTGAGCTACATCCCCAGCCCTTTTTTATTTTGAAACAGGCTCTCACTAAGTCATTATATTGCCCAGAATGGGCTACAACTTTCTTTCCTTCTTCTTCTTTTTTTTAAAGAGACATGAGAAGGATTTATTAGAGGTAGATATAGGTCACACTCAAGAACATAGTGCGAGTGCTCAGAGAAATGAGGCACCTGGGCTACAATTTCCAATCCTCTTGCCTCAGCCTCCCAAAGTAACAGGATTACAGACACGCACCACCATGTCTGGTTTAAAATCTTTAATGGTCTTCTACAGTCACGTAAAATTTTATGAGTAAATTAAAATAAGGAACAATTTAAAACTGCAAACTTTCCCTAGCTGAAGGGAGACATCTAGAGGTAAAAGCTTAAAACTGGAGCCTTTTCTCACTTCCTTGAGAATCTTAGAAGCATAGAGAAGCCTCTTAAAGTTCACTCATTTAGCAATTTTTCTCTAAGCATCTAGTTTAAAAAGTCAATTCACCAAAGCACTGCTTATTTTTTTATCACTGCTTATTTTAACCTGCCATCTAAAATAACAATATTCCCCAAATTCTTGGAAACTTTAAAGCTCCTCATGCAATCTATTAGTTCTACTGGCAATATGGCTCAAGCAAATGATGGACATGGCTACCAACATAAATTTATAAGAGATAAAGATAATATTGACCTGCTTCATACCAGTGCCAAGACATTTGCATATACAGGAATTGCCAGGCATGGTGGTATGTGCCTGTATTCCCAGCACTAGGGAGGCAGAGGCAGGAGTATTGCTGTGAGCTCGAGGACAGCCTGGGCTATATAGTGAGTTCAAGACCACCCTACACTACATAACAGAACTCTGTCTTGAAAAAAAAAAAAGAAAAAATCCTTAACAAATTAAAGCAGAACTGTACTTATTTTAATGAAAAATACTATTCATAAAATATTTACTGGCTTGATCTAATATCAGATCATATTTGATCATGAAGATTTCTAACTCATCCCTCTGTAATCATAAGTAACTCAAATGTCCTCAGGGGTCAAATAAAACTGAATCAAGGACTGGACCAGCGGAGTGAAAGGCAGATGGGGTACATTGGAGAATGCATTAGAGACGAAAGGCATTAACCCTAAGCTGTCCAAACTACCTACTCTCTCTTGTTGACCCCCAACTCTACTTGCTACTTTGTCTACAGATTTTTCAAACTTTCTCCCCAATACCTGATACTGAAGTAATGCAAATCAAAAAATAAAATAAAAAGTGCCAGGTATGGTGGCAAATGCCTATAATCCCAGCTATTTGGGAGACTGATATAGGAGGGTTACAAGTTTGAGGGCAATCTGAACAACTTAGCAAGATCCTGTCTCAAAATTTAAAAAAAAAAAAAAAAGTAAAGGACTGAGGATGTAGCTTAGAGGTACAGTCCCCCTGGGTTCATCCCCAGTACCAGGAGGAGAAAAAGGGAGAGAGAGGGGAGGGGGGAGGAGAAGGGAGAAGAAAAGAAACATCAAGTGTATCAATGAACAGAAAATATGTGGAGGAATACACTACCGAGGGTTAACAATAGCTACATGGAAATGACGGACTTATGTTTTTATTTTCTATTTGTTATCATATTAATTTTCTAATAAGAAGAGAAAAAACTTTTAATTCAGAAAAAAAAAGAAGAATAGCATCAAAACCCATGGCATGGCATATTCAACTCCAACTTTGAAACTGATAATAACAAATAGCAGGACAAAAACAGAGTCAGCATTTGAGTGCCACATTAATCAAGAAGAACTATTCAAGTGACTACATGTCCATCATTGTGCTATATTTAAATATTACTCTGTTTTTAAGAAAACAAAATCATCAGCAAAGAAATACTATATGCAATAAAATGGAATAACCAAATTAAAAATTTGAACCTCAGGAAAAATTAAGCTCATTTCTAACTCTTCCCTAAATCTGTAGAGCCTTACCATAAAGATCAGGTCCATGAGAAGTGAAGACATTATATAATAGAATGTTGAGTGGTGCAATTACCAACTTCCCATAATAGTAGCTGTCAATGACCACTACAGGCACCTAAAACAGAGTAGAAAACACACAGAAATTGCAAAGTTTTTCTCTTGAAACATTCTCAAAATGTTGACGATACACCTGAGAATGAAAAATAAAATGAATTCCTAATGTTTCCTTTTGCATCTCAGAAGCAGCTTTCATTATAATGTAAAAACAAAAAACAGGAATAAAACTCACCAGAAAGAGAATTAGAGCCCCCAGTGACCAATGAAAGAAACTCTTCCACCTATGTTTCATGACCAGCAAATCAAAGGCAATGGGTAAGCTATTTAACAGAGAAACAAAAAGTGGGGAGGTAAGTAAAATACTTAGAAACAAGTCAGAAATTCACATATCCCTTTCCTATGCTGACAGTAAAAATATCTCTACTTATGACGGCCAGGTAAGAAAGCCAGTATATGAGAGGACATTGTCTCAAAAATCTCATAAGACCCAACAGAAAGCTATGCAACCCACACTTGCACAAGAAGTATAAATACAGAGCTGCTGGAACAAACTTTATTTTATACATATTTTTGTGTAGTGGACACTTAAAATGTTAATTATAAATAAATGTTATCCTATACTACCATGTCAAATACATAGTGATCTCTTTTTTCGAAGATTTGCTAGGATTTCAGTAATATATTACAAACTCTGACTTCAATTCTGACTTATCCCCTTCCAGTGCCATTTATTATTCTTCCGTTTACCTACATTCCTCAAGCAAGTGGCATATATGTGTTTCCCTCACTTCACTATTTCTCCTTCAAGACTTAGCTTAAGTGAATAAAGCTGATTTAAGGTACACTGTAATCTCCTCATGGCAAGAACCAATGTCTCTTCACAGGGTTCACTTCCCTTTGTGATTCTGCTTCACTAGACACAAAATATCTGTTCCGCCAAGTTTAAATACCTTGAGCTCCTGATCTTTCCAGTCACTCCCCTAGGGCTCATTTCTATACTGCTTTTATTTTTTCTCTACGCGTCACCACAATGTCTTTCCAAAGCAACTACACTCATTATCTCAGTAGGTGCTTCCACTGTTGTATGTACAATCAACTTTCACCTACAACTTCCACAAATCTAAGGCACTAGTGGGCCTCTATCCTTGCTCTAGTCACAAAGAATTCTCCCCCCTCAAAAAAAGAATTCTTTCCCTACACTAACATATCTACACAGAATTTACCCAAATACCAATTGCAAGGCCTATTCTTGTCAGTCCTATGAAATCTCTATAGATTCCTCCTATCTCTGAATTTGTATGGTATTATCATCTTTGTCACTTATTTGATCATGTCACGTGCTGCCACTGAAATCTCCCTATGATTTGAACTTCCATGTTCTATTATGCAAATTTTGCGTTGACATTTTGTGTTTTATTTTTCTCCCAACTAATTACATTTCCATTGCACCTATATTTCTTCTTTGATTACTCTTTTTTGGGAGTTGGGGGTTCGAGGTGAGAAAAAAGAAATCATAAAGTTGTCTTTGATTTTAGAAGTATTTCATAAATCAGGCATGGTGGCATATGCCCATAATTCCAGCTACATGGGAGGCTGAGGCAAGAGGACAGCAAGTCTGAGGCCAGTCTGGGAAACTTAGCAAGATCCTGTCTCAAAATTAAAAAATAAAAAGGATTAGAGATATAACTTAGCACTCCCTGGGTTTAATTCCCAGTATAGAAAAAAAAAAAAGTATTTTGCATTTATTTTTTTATTTTTTATTTTTTTGGTACTGGGGAACAAACTCGGGTCCTTGTGCTTGTGCAGCAGGTGGCGAAACCACTGAGCTAAATCCCCAGCCCTATTTTGCATTTATTGATACAAGAATTGTAAAGGTCAGGGGCCAGGGATTTAGCTCAGTGCCTCACAAGTGCAAGGTCCCAAGTTCTATCCCGGGTACCAAAAAAAAAAAAAAGAATTATAAAGGTGATTGAAAACAGCAAAAGTTCAGAAAACAGCCTAAGATACAATCGTGAGGAACATAATAATTTGAAGATGAAAAAAATAATAATAATAATTTGAAGATGGTAGGTAGAATAGAAGAAAGGATTAGATATGGGGAAAACAGACTTGAAAAAGCAATTAAGAAAATTTTAGGGCCGGAGATTTAGCTCAGTGGTTCCGCTGCCTGCCTCACAAGCACAAGGACCCAAGTTTGATCCCCGGTACCAAAAAAAAATAAATTTTTAAATGGCCTATTCTCTGACATAATTCCCTTTGTAAAAATTTATTCCATAATAAAGTATGCAATGATATCTGTACAACAATGTTCACTGAAGCATTGTGTAACAGCAAAAAATTAAAAACCAAATGTCAGGCTGGGGATTTAGCTTAGTGGTTCCACCACCTGCCTCCCAAGTGCAAGGTCCCAAGTTCGATCCCTGGTACCAAAAAAACCCCCAAATGTCTACCAATAAAATAAGGTAATGGTTAAATAAATTGTGGTTGGCATATAGTGCAATGCTATACAACTGGATATACAGAATTATATACTCTACATACAAGAGAAGACAAACATATCTACAGGATAATTCCATTTGTTTTAAGAATACATAGGTATGGGGCCAGGGATTTAGCTCAGTGGTTTCCCTGCCTGCTGCGCAAGCGCAAGGTCCTGAGCTCGATCCCCGGTACCAAAAAAAAAAAAAAAAGAATACATAGGTATGGATGTATATATATGCACATATACAATGCACACAAGCATAATTTCTGGGAAGATATATACAGAATTTTTAGTAGTGACTATCTTTGAAGACTGGGCTAGAGGAGAAGAAAATTAGGCTTTTGTGTGGCACACATCTGTAATCTTAGCACTCTGAGAGGTTGGGGCAGGAAGACCATAAGTTCAAGTACAGCCAGAGGAACTTAAGTGATTTAATAAGACCTTGCCTCAAAATAAAAAATAGAAAGGACTGGAGATTATCTCAATGTGAAGGCCCTGGGTTCAATCCCCAGTACCACCAAAATAAAAAAATAAATAAAACACCAAAATTAGTTTTTGTTTTTCACCACGTCAGAAATGGAACCCAGGGGACTGGAAATTTAGCTCAGTGGTTCTGCTGCCTGCCTTGCAAGCGCAAGGTCCTGAGTTCGATCCCCGGTACCAAAAAAAAAAAAGAAGGGGCCAGGGATTTGGCTCAGTGGTTCTGCACCCTGCCTCGCAAGCTCAGGGACCCGAGTTCGGTCCCTGGTACCAAAACCAAAAAACAAAAAACAGAAAAGAGAAAGACCGAAGTGAACTCAGATTTCAAGCCTGGGAGACTGAGAAAATTCACAGCACAGGGTGGAGCAGTGTGGGGAAAACAACAGCTGTAGAGTTAGAAAGGACTGGAATCAAAGCATGCATAATTTTAAAGACAAATTACTCAAACTCTTAGTTTACTTTCTCATTTATAAAGCCTTAACAATTGCAATTCTATTACAGGTTCTATTACAGGTAAGGTTTAGGAGTAAAATTTGCAAAGGGTTTAGCAGTTTCTAACATATAACAGAACATTAATAGTCACTATTATTAGAATTAATCATAATAAACACTAAGAAAAATAGCCTTTCATTTCCCAGAATCATTGTAGGTCCAATTAATTCTCATAACTTTGATGCTGCCTGGCAATATGAATCTATTTCAACATTAATATTTGCCATATGCCTAGTGATATATGAGAGAGAAACTGTTTGTTTCTTACCCAAGAGCTGCACTGAATGGCCAGCCTAAGATAGCCCCAGCTGCTACGCCCAGCACAGCAATGGGAGTCTTGTCCATATACCAGCCAGTCATGGCTATCAACGTAGTATACATACAAAAGCTACTAGGAAGGAAAGCTGCAAGAGTAAGAAAGAAAAATAGAAAATTTAAAAAGGAAGGACAAGAGACTCAGATTAAGTATTGATTATTAAAAACTAACCTAGGGCCGGGGTTTTAGCTCAGTGGTTCCGTCACCTGGCCTTGCAAGCACAAGGTCCCAAATTCGATCCCCAGTACCAAAAAAAAAAAAAATCTAACCTACATTGCAAAATGTCAATAGCCAGTCACATATTTTGGGCGCTGCTATATTAGAAATAGGCAATAAAGGTATATTCCCTTTAAAAAATAATAAGTTCAATGATTTTCTTATTTTCTCATTCTTGTTTTTTAGGTACCAGCACATGCCCTTGACTTTACAATATTAACTATCCCATTCTTCTCCTGGCCTGTACCTCAAATTCAAAACTTAGGGCCGGGGATTTAGCTCAGTGGTTTCACCGCCTGCTGTACAAGCGCAAGGACCTGAGTTTGATCCCCAGTACCAAAAAAAAAGAAAACTTTAAAAATTCCAGTTTGCCCAAGAGTATCCCAAGGTTATATATCCAAGCAGGAAATATGCTTTAAAAGACTTAGAATCATTGTTGACAATTTATTTCTGAAAAATAAATCCTGATGGTTTTCTGAGACTGTCTCAGTCGTAACAGGTACCCTACAGGAATTCTAGGAAGGCTTCTCAAGGGCCAATGTTGAAAAGCAGCACCACTTTGCACCCTGCATGCCCTGTCACAGATTATCTGGCCTCTAGATGGCCCCTAATTATTTACATCTAAAATAATCTTGTTTTGGTGTACAGCAGAGGACTGACCAAATTCAGTCTTTGCAACACCATCAATCAAAGTATTTCAAATAATTTGGAACAAAAATACAGATCTCCTTCTCTTGCTGCAGAGATCTGATTCCTTTAGCACCAAGGGAAAAAAATCAGTCAACTTCAAGAGAATGATAATGAATAGGCAGTGAGATTTACAATACAGCAAAGGGTTCAGAGGCTCTGTATCAAAACATGCCTTCAGGGCCAGGAATTTAGCTCAGTGGCACCGTGCCTGCCTTGCAAGCACAAGGACCTGAGTTCGATCCAGTACCAAAAAAAAAAAACATGCCTTCAATTTATCTGTGCTTCAACTAACATTATAAAGCTGAAGATATGCCTAGGAACTTCTTTACAGATACAGTGATACCCTGGTTCACAAATGCTTTTGTTTGCAAACAGAAGCTTTGGCAAAATTTTGTTTTTGCTTGCAAATTCTGCATTGAGTGACAACAAATACAACCATGGCCATCTTTCCCCACACAAACACAAACATGGGCATCTTTTCCAAAATTGTAGAACAAATTAAGTTTGTGAACTGAGGCACCACTGTAGATGTTAAATCAGTGATGGTGAACCTTTTAGAGCTTTCAATGGTAACAAACTGCCAGCTGTGATAAGCTTGCCATATAGGTCTGCCACCAAGGCACTAAATATTGATGCCATCCAAAGCTGTCAATTCCAGCTTCTGATGCAGAGGATAAAAAAGCAGAGATATGTGAAGTTCCTGCCAGCTTTGAGGGTAAAGCACAGACACGTTTAGGGCAGTGGAACTCAAAGTTATTCCAGGCAAGAATCCTGAGCTCTCACCAGACATTAATTTTGGCATATTCAATAAAGGAAAAGTAAACATATAATTTTGTGCCAACTACTACTTTAGTATATATTCATTATAAACAGTATATTAGATTCTGGAACACACAAGCAAAAACTACAATTAAGACAATTATATCTAATAATTTTTTTGGAGAGTTGGGAACAAACTACCTTTTCAGCAGGCTACCCTGGCTCAGTCCACAAAACACAAATATTCTGTTACAGCACAGTTTGAAAGCCACAAACTAAGTATTCTAAATTTTAAGAAGCTTACTCTTAAAAAATGCCCAATAGAACATGCACACCTCCACAAAATACAATATCAAATAATATACCTAAAACAGATCTGTCAAGAATAGTATTTTGGGGCCAGGGATTTAGCTCAGTGGTTTCGCTGCCTGCTACGCAAGCGCAAGGACCCGAGTTTGATCCCCAGTACCAAAAAAAAAAAAAAAAAAGAATAGTATTTTGGGGGCTAGGGATTTAGCTCAGTGGTGCAGCCACCGCCTGCCGCGCAAGTACAAGATCCTGAGTTCAATCCCCGGTACCAAAAAAAAAAGTATTTTTGGCACAAAGAACTTCCTTAAACAAAATTATGTTCTTTCCCCTAATGCCGTAGAAGGAAAATGGGTGGTTGACACAGGATGTAAAAGAAAGCACTTATCAGTTCTACCAATTATGAATTTGACTTTTAATAAGTTATTTCACCTTTGTGAGTTTCAGTGTTCTCACCTGCAAAAATGAGAAACTATTTATCTTGCTTATATCATACAATTATTGTAAAGATCAATCATGAAAATGTAGATAACAGTGCTCTGCAAATTACTGACATGTTATACAAACAAATACTGTAGACACCTGGACAAGTGTTTCCCTGCAATACAACTGTTAACCAAGGGAGAGCCTGCCACTCTTTCCACTTGCCCTTTTACTTACCAGATGATGAACAAAACATGCCAGTGCTGAGCACCAAGAAGGCTAGCATCATTCGACTCACATGCAGCCCAAACTTCTTACACACAGCCCTGAAATAAACCAGAATTAGCACAGCAGATATTAGAAATGGACAATTCAAATCAAAGGAGTAAAAAATGTCTCCAAAGGAAATAAATAACACTGAAGATCTAAAGTCTAATACAGATACAGAACTGTCTTAATAGATTTGTTAGCAACTTTATATGCATAAGAAACCCAAATATCTTTATCCCTGACACAGGAGAGAAGCTCCCTGCCTAAGAGGAAATATATACATTATGTGGTAAGATTATGTCTACTATCAATAGAATGTGGTAAAAAATAATAGGCCTCAGATGCACATAGGTACAGGTTCAAAATCTGACTCCAATACTTATTAGCAGTGAGACCCTGGCCTAGTCACATAATCTGCCAGATTCCTCATCTGCAAAATAAAAATATTAAATTATAGCCACTTCAGGAAATTTCTGTGAAGATAATGCATGGAAAAGTGCTTAGGAGGGCTGGAGATTTAGCTCAGTGGTTTTATCACCTGCTGCACAAGCGCAAGGACCCAAGTTTGATCCCCAGTACCCCCCTCCCCAAAAAAAGTGCTTAGGAGAGTATCTGGCACTAAGTTGAACAAAAAATAGTGGTTGTCAGAAAAAAACACTAGGAGATATAAGGAAATGTTAAGTCATTATCTCAGTCAGTGTTTTTCAAACAGGCAATGATACACTAACTCCTTCTACTTCTTTCTTTTAGTTTTCGTAAGCCCACAAATTAAACATTTTTAGATATTATTGCTTTGTTTAGTCAGTTTATTCAGATAGGGCCAGGGATTTAGCTCAGTGGCACCGTGCCTGCCTCGCAAGCGCAAGGTCTTGAGTTCAATCCCCAGTACCAAAAAAAAAAAATTTTGTTAGGCATTTCTGTGCTAATTCCTTATTTCATCTCAGAGCTTCCTTCTGAAATAAATGTGCTTCTTCCTAAGTATATCTTTTATATGTTTCTTTACCTGATTATGGTAAACTCAGATTTTTGAGTAGTTTCTTTTTCTTTTCCTGAAGTCTTTATCTACCTCTTGATCTTAAAAGATGATTTAACTTAGTATTCAATTTTAAGATGACAGCCATTTTTTCTCAGCACTTTCAAAGCACTTTTTCTTTTTTTTCTAGTCTTCTGGCTCTTGAAAAGTCTTCTATCAGTCTAATATTCCACTCTAGAAATTCCTTTAGTTCTCGATCAACTTTTAGATCTGTTTTTGTCCCTGGTGTTTTACACAGTATCTCTAATTTCCTTTTTTTTTTGGTACCAGGGATCGAACTTGGGTCCTTGCGCCTGCGCAGCAGGCGGCAAAACCACTGAGCTAAATCCCCAGCCCTCTAATTTCTTTTTTATGCATCCAGGTTGGGATATGTTAGGCTTCCTGAATCTATGGATTACCACCTTTTCCCGACCAATTCTGGAAAATTCTCAGCTGTTATTTCCCTAAGTATTATGTCCTTATTCCCTATATCATCTCTTATAATCAGGTTAGATATACAGCAAACTTTCAATTCTACCTTACATTTCGTAAGCTCTTCTATATTTCCTTTTCTTTTTGTCTTTCTGTACTACATTCTTAGTTTCAAATCAATCTTGCAATTTTCTTATTAGAAGTACTGTATATAATCTGCTGTTTAAATTATCTGCTGAGGTTTAAATATCAATATTATGTAAACATTATGGATATTAAAAATGATATACTATATAGTATATGAAAATAATGTTTAATATCTTAATTTCTAGAAGTTCTGATTATTTTTCAAATTTGCTTGGTCATTTCTATAGTCTCTTCTTCATGTTTTCAGTTCCATCTTTCACTTCTTTGCAGATATTAAATATACTTATTTTATATTCTTATTTTAATAATTCCTAATGAAATTTTGTGGGTCAGCTTTTTGTTGACTGATATTTCTGCTTGCTCTCACTCATAATACCTTGTTCCCTTCTTCATTAATTCCCCACTTTGTGACTACCACTTATAATTTCTCACTCACTAGAACTTTATCTCCCATAACTCTTTGCTATTTGGGTTAAGATTCCAGCTCTCCAGAGAAATTTTTACAAGTTACCTGGGGCACTACTAACCCACAGTAATTTAAAGTATCTTCAACTTGGGATTCAGGGGATCATGTGGGTGATTTGAATTCAGGACCAAACCCATATAAAGACCAACATACAGTTACAGCCATCAAGGGCAACACTGGCTTTTTTGTTTCCATTCCACCAGAGTCAAAGCCAAATTATTTTTTTAATCTGACATATTTAGCTGTGGGAAGATTTTTAATGTTCACTACATTTAAAAACCCTTTATTGCATTAAGGCATTATTAATATGTTTGTCAGGTATCATACACAAAAAGATAGCTTTTTTTTTTTTTTGGTACTGGGGAATCAAACTCAGGACCTTGCACTTACAAGGCAGATGGCGGAACCACTGAGCTAAATTCCCGGCCCAAAGATAGCTATTTTTATTACTGGAACACTTAAATGCCTAATAATTCCATTAATATTCAACTAACTAGAGCTATGCATGGTCGCACATGCCTGTAATTCCAGCACTCAAGAGTCTGAGGTCAGGATCGCCAAGAGTTTGAGGCCAACCTGGGGATATAGTGAGTTCAAGGCCAGCCTGAACTATACAGCAAGATCCTGTCTCAAAAACTTACAGCTCTTTTGTGAAGAACAATGTATAGGATGCAAATAGGAGCAGAAAGTCTCATTTGGGAATAGTTTCCCAAGAGCTAAATTCTAAGGTAGAAGTAAATCATGATCCTGTATCTTAGGCCCAAAAATAAGCTTCTACTAAATCCTACTAAATAAAGATCAGTTAGATATGTATTAACAGAATTAAAATTAATGATATGGTATTTATGAACCTCAAGAAAGTAAACAATAATTAGAAGTATTCCTCTTTGATTATTTTTCAAACAAGAAGTTGCACTTCAGATATAGTATCTGGAGCTGGAAGGAAAATGTTTTCTATTTCTAATTGCCTACCCTATCAGAGAGATGATCTATGGTATATTTGATTTCCTCTTAGCACTTTTAGAACCAAAGCTTTTATACTCACTTGTAAAAGTAAAGTTCACAAATACAGCTCACAAATGCCAGAAGACATCGCAAAAAATAAAAGACAAGAATCTGAAAGAAATCCAGAACAAGAAAATATGTCACAGATAGGAGCCAAAAAAACTCACAAAGATGAAGCTATTTTGATTTGTCAATAATAAACTGTACTATAAATTATTAGAAAAGCATTATGTATCAAAATCATACAAATTTTCATATCCCTATATTCAGTATACTTATTTCTGTCACCCCAAGAGCTGGGGGCAGCTCATAAAAATGTCAATTGCAGCCCTATTTATTTAGTAAAAACTGTTTTAAAAACCACAAAATGACAAAATGGCTATTACATAGGGCCAGGGATTTAGCCCAGTGGTTCCGTCGTTTGCCTCGCAAGCACAAGGACCCGAGTTCGATCCCCAGTACCAAAAAAAAAAAAAAGTACAAAATGGCTATTACATACATATTGTAAAATAAATTATGCTACATGGACTACTACATAGATTTTTTTTTTTCTTTATGACACTAGGGATTTAACCTTGGGCCTTCACACTTAACTACATGCCCTGCAATTTTTAAAATTTTGAGATAGGATTTTGCTAAGTCTAAGTCACTAAATTGCCCAAGATGGGCTTGAACTTGAGATCTTCCTGCCTCGGCCTCCCAGAGTACTGGGATTATACACATGTGCCACCAGACCCCACTTAAAATATTATGGCTGCTCAAGAAGTACTTTTTGGAAAAAGGATTATTTACAAAATACTAAGTGAAAATGCACAGTACACTATCATTATACAAAGTATAAGTCACAACCACAGGTACTATATGCATATGAAAAGATTGGAAAGAAATATAATAAAATAGTAAGAGCAGTTGTGACAGTCTGATTGATTTTTCTTCCCAAGTATTTTTCCTATCTTTCAAACTTTCAAATGATGTTATTAATTTTATACTTAAGGATATCAGTTTAAAAATAAAAATAAGGGTTATATTAAATAGTTTTCATACTGCAGAACATCATATGTTTGATCATTAAATTAACCAGGTGTGGTGGCACATGCCTATAATCCCAGTACTCGGGAGACTAAAGCAAGAAGATGGCAAGTTCAAGGCCTACCTGAGCTACAGAGTGAGTTCAAACCTGGCTTGGACTACATGAAAGATCCTGTCTCAAAATAAATCAACAAAATAAGGGTTAAATTCCATAGAATATAAACACTAGTTAAATGCACAGTATGATTAACATAAGTACATATAGTTTGGAAATACTGTCTATGTTCAGCACTAACCAACACAATCCAAAATGAGTTCAAGTGATCACATTCATTCATTAATTTAATAAGTCATACTGAAAACCTACTACACAATGAGTATAGTACTATGCAATGACTACTATTCCAGATGCTACTAGGAATACAGGTAATTTCAGATAAATTTCTACTTTTAAGGACTCCTTATTTAATAAGACAGTACAAATAAACATCTAGAAAGTTGAAAATTAACATGAACTAATATAAAAATTATATTTGGGAACAGGACAACCACGTCCCCTGTCTTAATATTCGACAAGTAATTGAAAGTTCTAATCCATGCAAAAAGACACAAAAAAGAAATGAAGTATAACAAATAGAATAAAGGAAACTAAATACACTGCTATGGTTTGGAGATAGTCTGTCCCCGCAAGGTTCATGTGCTGGAAGTGTGATCCCCAGTGTGATGATGTCAAGATGGTGAACTTAGAAGGCATGTGACCTAATGGAAGTTAATTGGGTCAAGAGGGCTCCACCCCATAAATGGATGAGTGCTCCCTTAGGAATAAGGAGTCTCATAGGAGTGGATTAGTTCCCTTGATTGTTATAAAGCGAGCACAACTGTCTCAGCCTAAAAGCCCTTTCTGCTTCTCTGTCGTATGATGCAGCCAGAGGGTCTTTGCCAAGATGCTGACACCAAGCTGTCTGGACTCACCAACCACCAAAATCATGGACCAAAAAACCTTTTTTCTTTATAAACTATTCAGCTCCAGGTATTTGCTAAAGCAACAAAAAATGAACTAAAATATATACACAGATGATAAGAACCCAAGGGATTGACCTGATAGATAAACCAATGGCACTAATAAGGAAATTCAATCATATATTCGATATTAAGATTTTTTTTAAAAAAAAATCCATCGTGTTCTTCTATATCAGTAAAAAACTGACAACAAAAAAGACAGTATTTACAATGAGAACAAAAAGCACAAAGAATCTAGGCATTAATCTGTCAAAAACTACATAAGATTAAAATGGATACATTTAAAAAATTTTTTGGTACCGGTGATCGAACTCGGGACCTCGCACTTGTGAGGCAGGCAGCGGAACCACTGAGCTAAATCCCCAGCCCACATTTTAAAACTGTATTAAAAAACAAAAAACCTGAGCCAGATGTGGTGGCACATGCCTGTAACCCCAGCACTCAGGAGGCTGAGGCAGGAGGATTGCCATGAGTTCAAGGCCAGCCTGGACTACACAGCGAGTCCTTGTCTCAAAAAACACACAAAAAAAACAGAAAACCTAAGTTTTCATTTAGATAAATATATCACTTCATTTAGGTAAATACAACACATAAAAGTATTAATTCTCATATTAATATGTAAATTGAATACAACTCTAATAAAAACCTAGCAGGATTTAGGTGTGGGAAAAACTAATTCTAAAATGATTTTTTAAATACAAATCTTATGCTGCTGTGGAAGTGCAAGGACCCAAGTTCGATCCCCAGTACCAAAAAAAAAACAAATACAAATCTTATAAATGACAAAGCAAGAAATTCATTCTTCAGTTATTTACATTACAAAACTATAACAATCAAAGCCATAAAGGGGCCAGGGATTTAGCTTTAGCTCAGTAGTTCCGCCGCCTGCCTGGCAAGGACCTGAGTTTGATTCCTGGTACCAAAAAAAAAAAAAAAGCAATATGCTACTACTTAACAAAGACATCAATGACAATGAATAAAGAAAACAGAAACAGACCCATACACATATGGGAGTAAGATGTAATACAGAGGTATTACATTAGAGGAATACCTAATTAGAGGAAACAGATGAATTATTTAATGGATGGTGCTAGAAAAATCAGTTCACTGAATAGCAAAAAGTAAAGTTGGATCTTTTTGCATTTTATAAAAACAAACTTCAAGTCTCCTAAGAAAGAGGTAAAATTATAGGGCCGGGAATTTAGCTCAGTGGTACCTCACTTTCCTTGCAAGCACAAGGTCCTAAGTTCGATCCCTGGTACCACAAAAAAAAAAAAAAAAGGTAAATTATAAAGCTAACTGAAGAAAATACAGAAGAATATCTCTATGACATAGTGAAAAAAAGATTTTGTTTAAAAAGATCCAAAACCTACCAACCATATGAGAAAAGCTGACCGATTTGACCACTTGACTATATCAAAGTTAAGGATTTCTGTTTGACAAAGGTCCACAAAGTTAATAGAGAGGTGACTGTCTAGATAAAGGATATGCAAGACAGCCTCTAAAACCTACGAACAATTACTAGTGGGAAATTCCACCAACAAGGGGGAAAAAACAGAAAATCCAATAGAAAAATGGGCAAAGGATATAAAACAGGTAAATCATAAAGGGAAATAAGAATTATGAATAAATATGTGAAGAAATGCTCCACCTCTCTAATAACCACAGAAATGTAGTCAAAATGAGAATATCAAATGCATGAAAAAGTCAAAAATATCAAGTTAGGAGAGGTGAGGAAGCTGGAACTATTGCTGCGTGGAATAGCAAAGGAGAGCAAAGGTGGAGAGCAAAGGGTCTATGTGTGGGACCTGATTATACTGAAGCGTGAAATCCATACACATGCAGAAGGGAATAATACAGAAGTGTTCTACTTGGGTGTAAAAAAGTTGGGAAGGGCCAGATATAGTGATATAAACCTATAATCCCAGCACTCTGGGAGGCTGAGGCAGGAAAACTGCAAGTTCAAGTCCAGCCTGGGCAACCTTGAGACTTAAGATTCTGTCTAAAGGGCTGGGGATTTAGCTCAGTGGTTCCGCCCCCTGCCTCACAAGCCCAAGGTCCTGAGTTCAATCCCCAGTATCAAAAAAAAAAATTAAAGAGTTGACATGTAACTCAGTTGGTTCAATTCCAAATATCATAAATAAATAAGAAAGAAAGGAAGGAAGGAAGGAAGGAAGGGCTGGAGATTTAGCTCAGTGGTTCCGCCGTCTGCCTCGCAAGCCCAAGGTCCAGAGTTTGATCCCCAGTACCAAAAAAGAAAAGAAAGAAAGAAAGATAGATATCCATCACTAGAGGTGCCAATTATTAACATACTCTTTCTCAGCAATAACCCAGTCTTCTTTACTCCTCAGGATTATGATGGTAGCGCTGGGATTCTATAACTACAATTCCCTTTGGCAGGTAGGTCCCTGGTGAATCTCTCTGGCAAAATTAACAGGGAAAAGGAAATTTGACCTAAGAAAAAGAGAAGGGAAGTCTTCCTCCCTGTTTTGCTTGTTGTTTACATCAATGATATAATAATGTTACTGATGCAAGAGGAAGAATTCAGTATGGGACATGTCAAGTTTAAAGTGAGAGCAGATAATCATGTAGAAATAAAAACCCTCAGCATTATATATTATTGGTTCTCTACTGAGTGCTTCATCTTATATTATCTTTCCTCTGACAAGTTCAAAGAACCAGAAATGAGACACTAAATAGGGAAGGGAAACAGTATGCTCTCACTTTCCACAGATGCAGTTCTGATCATTCTACTCCTCTTTTTTTTTTTTTTAGTTCTGATCATTCTAAAATGCAAATGCAAGTATGTCTCTTTTCTGTCTAAAACCTTTCAATGACTCCATAATATATTTGGGGGGAAGAAAATAAAAAACAGCATAATTATTTAATAGATTCTACCAGGTCTTGCAGATATCTAGGCTCTTTCTACCTCAGTCTCATCTAATCTACCCCGCAGCACTCTCTCTTTGAAAGTTCAAACTTATTTATATAAGAAGGCTATGTTGCCTAGCTACTTCGGAGGCTGAAAAAGGAGGATCATGAAGCTGAGGCCAGCCTGGGAAACTTAGCAAGACTTTGTCTTAAAAAAAAAACAAAAAAGGCTTGGAGATACAGTTGAATATGAGGCCCTGGGTTCAATCCTCACCACCACAAAAAAAAAAAAAGAGAGAGAGAGACAAAGGAGAAGGAGGAGGGAAAAACAAACGGCCATCCTGGACTCTTCTCAACCACAGCACCTTCAGCCTAGATGTTATGCCTTGTATCTAGATGTCCCCCCAAGGCCTCATTCAGTCACAGGTGGGGCTTTTCAGAGGTGGCTAGATCTGGAGTATGTAATGTTGGGATTAACTGTGTGATGCTGGGATCAAGGGTGTGTGATTACTAAATTAATGCACTAGGGGCCGGGAATTTAGCTCAGTGGTGCTGCAACTGCCTGGCAAGCACAAGGTCCTGAGTTCGATCCCCAGTACCAGAAAAAAAAAATAAATTAATGCACTTATTGATCTGCACAGTACTGGGTAAGATTAAGGGTGGCCCTAAGGGTGGGTAGCCTGGATAAAATATAAGGGACAGAAAGAGGGCTAGTGTGGTCATTTGTTACTTGCTGCTTCTTTGCTTTGTTACCTCTGCCCACCATGAACTATTTCTCCTCTGTGATGCCCCTCTCCCATGCCACTCTGCCTTGGAGCCAGCCAACTATGAACTAAAATCTCTACAAACTGTGACCTAAATAAACCTTTCCTCCTTTAACTGTGGATGTCGGGTATTTTGTATCAGCAACCAGAAAACTAACTAAGACAATGACTGTTCCCAATTTCCTCCCTCACTCCCATTCTTCTCTTCCAGGAAAACTTCTTCAGTTCTTTAATTAGGGGTTTCTGCTTCAGTGAAGATAGGCCTTTTCCCTATTATTCCTGCTAAGTACATCAAAAACTCTGAACATGAAAGGTTCTGGGCATGGTGGCACACACTTAATCCCAACACTCTGGAGGCTGGGGCAGGAAGATAACAAATTCAAGGTCAGTTTGAACTATACAGTGAAACCGTGTCTCAAAAAAAAAAAGGAAGACTGAAAGGTAGAGGAATAACATAAAGGGAAATTCCATGGGTCTTCTTTTTGCCTTGTATACTCCAGACAAGAAACTCAAGAAGCTGGCAACTAGAAATGTGAAAGGGCACAGACAAAAACACTCCAACCAAGGCCTGTCTCTCTACCTCAAGATGGAAATGAACTGGACAGAGGAGAGAATCAGTGCATTGGAGGACAGAGAACAGAAATTACTCAATGTGAGCAACATAAAGAAAACAGATTTTTGGGCCAAGGATTTAGCTTAGTGGTTTCGGCACCTGCCTTGCAAATGCAAGGTCCCAACTTCGATCTCCGGTACCAAAAAAAAGAAAAAAAGAAAACATACTTTTTAAAAAGGACAATACAGTCTCAGGACTAATTAAAAAAATAACCTTTATATCAATAGAGTGCCAAAAGTAAAGGAAAAATGGCAAAGCTTCAAAAAGAAGTACTCAAAACAATAACAGCTAAGAAAAAAAAAATCCCTCAATTTTGCAAAAGGCATAACCCTAAAGATTCAAGAAGCTGAGAAAACTTCAAACAAGATAAACTAAAAAAAATTCTACACCAAGACACATCATAGTCAAATTCCTGAAAACTAAAAAGGTCAGGTCCCAGTTAACATTTCTGTTTTTGTTTTTTGTACTTCTTTTTTTTGTACCGGGGATCAAATTTTATACTGTTTTGAGGTACTGGGATTTGACACAAGGTCTGGTACATGCTAAGAGAGCACACCACTGAACTACCTCCTCAGACCTTTTTAAACCTTTTTTTAAAATTGAGTTTACCCTTTGGGGCCCGTGGGTCTGGGGACACGGGGTCTGGGCGCTGAGCCAAGCAGTGGTGGGCGGTATGTTGCTACCTGCCAATTGCCCACTAAGGGATCAGAATCAAGTCTTAGGCGGTGCCTATTTAAAATGCGAATTCCTAGGGGTGCTGGCCCTGTGAGGCCACATGGGATGGGTTTTCCTAGGGAAGCAGGTTAGATGCAGGGGCAATGCACACCCGACCCCTGGATACAAGTTCATGGTTTGGTAGAGTCCGTGGGTTGGCCAGGCGGCTGGCGCACACCTGTGATCCCAGCTTCGGGGGAGGCTGAGACAGCACTAGTGACCAGCATGGGCAGTTATGGAGACCCGGTCTCTAAAGGACTAGCCGTGTGGCTCAGTGGTAGAATTACCCCTGGGTGTGACCTCCAGTACTGAAAAAAAAAATTGTGCCCCAATCTGTAATTTGGTAAAAGCCCATCTGGTAACACGGCAGAATTATTTTCACGAGACGCATTGAAAACCATTGTTAGGCTCTCCCTCCTAGCCGCCTTCTACAAAGGAGAAATTCCCTGGGACACACACACCCATTTCCTCTAAGAAGAGCAACCTTATTCATAATACGTGGGGAAGAGCAGTTTGCTAGGCGTGAGGTCTGCTGAAAATCAATGATGCCTTCCTTACAGGTCTCTTGGATATGGTATTGGCCACGTGACTCGACACAAAACAACAAATCATCTGGGGTGACACTCTCCCGAACATGAATTCTATGCTAGCTGAAACAAAATACCTGGGCGTGATGGCATGCACCTGTAATCCTAGCAGCCTGTAATTCCAGCTGGTACTTGGGAGCCCATGGCAAGTTTGAGCACAGCCTGGCCAATTTAGTGACTTAGACCCTGTATAAAATTCGGGATGTGGGTGGAGGTAATTAGGAACCCAGAACAGCAAAAAAAAAAAGAGAGAAAATTACAAATTTGACTCCAGCCATGACAATTTAGTGAGGCCCAGTCTCAAAATATTTTTTTTTAATTTTTGTAAAGGTCTAAAGATGTGATGCAATGGTAAAGCACTTGTTTTAGCACAAGGCCCTGGGTTCTACCCCCAGTACCCCAAGAGAGAGGATGAGTAGGCAAGAATTGCCTGTTTCAGACTCTTGCCAGTTGTGTTTCAGAGTATATACACAGCCCCTACAGTTTTAGTAGAGGTCACTATGCAGCTACTAATTTAAAAACTTAATCTGCTGAGAGCCAGGCATGGTGGTGTACTCGGGAGGCTGAGGCAGAAGGATCACTGCAAGTTTGAGGCCAGCCTGGGCTACATAGTGAGTTCAAGGCCAGCATGGACTACATACTAGGACCCTGTTTCAAAAAAA